GGCGGGGGGGGAAGGGGGGGGGGGGGGGGGAGCTTGAGCTCAGAGGTAGGGGGAAGAGCCACTCGTGGCCCGCGGGCCTGAGACAGACCTGAGGTAAAGGAATTGCCTTGCTGAATTTCGTAAGATTATCTTGAAAAGTTAGAACATTTTTATTTCTGTTGTTGGTTACGATTAATGAACCTACAATATCTAGCACATTTTTCGAAAGGTCGGCTAGCTGTATCGGTTATCACTAAGAGTGCTTTAGGTTTTCGCTTCAATTAATTTTTTTGGCAAAATTTGCATTTAGCGATGTAATTTTCAACATATTTAGTTAATCCGGACCAGTTGTGTTTCATCCTAATCCTATTAATTGTTCGTTCAATTCCTTGGTGTCCGTCTAAGGATGCATCGTGATATTCATGCAATATGCGCGCTTTATCTTCTTTCGCTGTAGTCTCGCGTTTCATTATAATTTTCTTCTGTTGAAATACTTAGAGTTATGATTACGCCTTCTCGTAAATAACTGCAAGGAAAACTGATTGAAAAATGACCGTTTTATTATAGCGTATAACGAAGAAACGCAAACAGTACAATGTACATCCGGTGTGTGCGTGGTGATAACAACGTAATAGGCGGGAAAGGGCAGTGAGTGCCGGGAACACAAAAAAAAACAAAAAAGAAACGCAAAAAAGACCCTAGTGCCCAACCAAAGTACCAAAAAGAAAAAAGAATTGTACAGATGGCACCACTCATTCACTCCTGACACACACTGAATAGAAGCGCGCAAATATTTAAACTTATATTTCTAACATCTTCTTTTTTGTCTTTTAGGTTGAGAGCTACATTGCAGCTTAACGCGTCAGCATTTGTATGTTCTTTTCGGATCGGTGTACGATTTCGTAATCATATTCTTCCAGTTTTAATCTTGATTATTATTTAGACATGATCCTGGATCGGCTACATTGAATAACCATACCAATGGCTTATGATCCGTTATTATTTTAAATTTAGTACCGTATAAATAAGGTCTGTAATATTTCACCGCCTATACTATGGCTAATAATTTCTTTTCGGTAGTATTATAATTATGTTCTGCTTGCGACAATATTCTGCTGGCGTAAGCAATCGGTCGGTCTTGACCTATTGCTCTTTGAGACAATATAGCTCCGATGGCGTCATCTGATGCGTCCGTCGTTAAAAAAAAATCTTGACTGAAATCAGGATATTTTAGCACAGGGGCGGTAATTAATTTATTTTTTAAAGTCTCGAACGCATTTTATTGTTCTCCGGTCCATTCGAACTTTTCTCCTTTTTTCGTTAATTTCGTAAGAGGTTTGGCAATTTTAGAGAAATTTTCTATAAATTTTCGATAATATCCCGCTAAACCTATAAAAGATTGTATTTCTTTCACCTTGGTCGGTGTTGGGAATTCTCGTACTGCTTTTAGTTTGGAAGGGTCAGGCACGATTCCGTTTTCGGTTATTATGTATCCTAAATATTATATATTACTTTCTTCCTGAGGAACTCACACTTATCAGGTTGAAGCTTTAGATTATGTTTTCGCAATCTGTTTAATACTTCGATAAGCCGTATATTATGTTCCTTTAAACTTGTTCTGTATATGACTATGTCATCCAAATATACTAGACATTTGATTCCTTGTAGTCCAGTCAGCACAGAGTTCATTATTCGCTGGAATGTGGCTGGCGCGTTCTTTAATCCGAACGGCATTCTATTGAATTCGTAATGTCCGTACGGTGTAGAAAACGCTGTCTTGCATTTATCTTTCTCGGCCACGGGTATTTGGTGATAACCTGACCTGACGTTAGATCCAAAGTGGTAAAGTACTTTGCGTTTCCCAGTTGGTCTAGTATGTCTGTTATGTTAGGTGATGGGAAGGAATTGCCCATAGTTAAATCGTTTAATTTCCGATAATCTACGACTATACATAATTTTTGTTTACCTGACGCATCGGTCTTCTTAGGGACCACTAGCAATGGAGCGTTCCATTGACTGGCACTTGGTCTAATAATTTTGTCTCTCAACATATCTTTTACTTGCTGATTTACTTCTTTTTTATGTTTTTCTGATAAGCGGTACGAACGTATATTTACGGGTGCACTGTTGGCTCGAATCGTAATTTCATATGTGATAATAGGAGTACAAGTAAGTGCATCTCCTTCGATATAAAACATGTCGCTAAAATCTTCACAAATTTGTAGCAGTGTTTTTACTTCTTCTTGATTTAAGTATTGTAAACGAAGTAAATTTTTTATTTGTTCGCTGCGGGAAAACGTTGTAGTCTCCTGTTGTGCTTGAGTAATGCATATTTGGGCCGCTGTATTTGTTATTTCTTCGACAGTTACACATGGAGTTGGTAGTTTAATATATTCTTCGATAGTGTTTATAACACTAATTGGACAGGAAAATTCTTCCGGCTTTACTAGGCAATAGCCGATAAAAACTCCAGATTGTATTTCCTCGGCGCGTATTATGCCTACTTTGTTTGAGTCGATAGTGGCTTGAATAATTGCCTCACTGCGCGGTTTTGCGAAGGTTAATGCTCGATCCGGACATAATTTTAATATCGTATCTGATAGCTGTATCTACTTCTTATTATAATCGCACATTACCTTGTGTTTTTGTAGAAAGTCTACCCCTAGGATTCCTTCATAATTAATTGGGAAGTCATTCTTCCCGATATAAATTGAGTGCCGTATTTTCCGGTTCTTCAGGGTTATCGTTGCCTTGATTTTTCCGGTTCTTCAGGATTATCGTTGCCTTGATTTTTCCTATTGTATGCATTTTGTGTCGTGTAAATCCAGTGAGTGCCATTTGTTCCTTGTAGATAATGGTTTATCCTTTTAGATTTCTTAATTTTATTAGTGTAACCATTGCTCCTGTGTCAAAGTAAGTTTAATTTTCCTTTTTTAACTTCCTGGATGGGAGGAGTTACTAGATATAATCCAGTATTTGTTTGCGGTTTTCCTGTTACTGGCGATATTTGGTACTCGAGAGCCGGTCTCGGCTGTTTTGTGTTTTTTTCGTCTTCTTCTTCAACCTTGTCTTGCATTGTATTTTTTCTTCGTTGCCCATTCGTTTTATTATGATTTTGTGGCTTTTTATTTTCGCTCGATTTTGTCCGAGTAGATTCCAGGTATGCTATTTCAGCGCGTCCGTGAAGATTCCAGTATTCACCTCGACCATGACCTGATTTTTTGCAGTAGCTGCAATGTTTTTCGAGTGTATTTATTCTTGACGGTTCATGTGGCTTCGGCAAAGAGAATCGATTTGCATATCTGCTTGTTCGGTATTCTCGTCCGTGATGCTCTAGTTTTCCGCATTTATTACACTATAATATTTTATTTCGCGTTGCTTGCGAAATTGTATGGTCGGATTTATGTCGCTACGCATTTTCCAATGTGCCCTTGATCTTCTCTTCCGCACTGGCTCCTGCGATTGCTTCTTGTAACGTTGAGTAATGCTCTGCTCGCATCACCAATTTGATATCATTGTGGAGACCTATTTGGAGATTTTGCAGAACTTGCTGTATAGTGTCAAGTATAATGCGTTTTCGTTCGCTGCCGTAATTTTGGCCTTCGATCATGGATTCATATAATTCCATGGCCAAATTATCTGCGCGAAGTCCGCATGCTCTGGCGCTCTCGCCGGCTTTTTGTTTTAAGGAGTTAAATTCAATTTGCAAGTGAGTAGTGCTCTTCTTATTTAAATAACAGATTTCGAGTTCTCGTTTAAGCTGTCCGAAATTGTTTATATTTCGGGTTTCAAAGTCTACCATAGCTTTTCCTTTTAGCTTCGTGCAAAGTATTGCTTCTAATAATGTTTTTTCGTCTATGGGGTTAATATTTTTTATAGTGTATGAGCATGCGCTTAAAAATTCTTTGAGTTTAGCTTGCGAATTTCCGTCGAATTCCGGAATTATTTCTCTCGCTTCTTTTAACTAAACCACTTAAATGTGCCGATTAATTTTGTACATTGTTAAATGTTCGTCCGTATGTGACATCGAGATGAGTGTCATTTGGTATCACGTTCTATTTAAATCTTCTCGATGTGGTACTCACGTTCTATTTAAATCTTCTCGATTTTCGCGTAGATCTTGCACCTGCTCGTGTAGATCTCTTATTTCTTCTCGCATTTCTTGAATGGTTTGCAAGATTTCAACCATCAATGCATTGCTCGGATCTTCGAATGGACGTCCGGCATCTTCATAGTCCGTGGCGGCGTTGTGTCTAGTCTATGCTCGCAGGCGTTCAATTTCCCTATCAACGTCTTCCCTATCAACGTCTTCGGGGGGAGGGGGGACAGTTGACGGTAACGGATTACGTTGCATATTTTCTTCGTTATTTTTCGAAGATGCTACTATCGTGATACGGGAGAGTAGTTTCTCCTAACGGCAACTTGTTCGACGGATGTACGGTTTACACCGGGTTCGTCTATTTCTACTTCGTTATTATTATTAGGAGGGAGTGTGTTTTCTGCTACTTGATTAATTTCTGGTTCGCGAGATCCTATTTTAGGTAAATTTGCGCCTGAATAGTGATTATCTCAATTTCTCTGTACGCTAGCGCGAATATCGCGGGCCGCTCCTTCAATTACTTGTACAAGTGTTACAAAACCGAATCTATTTGCTAGTCGCGCTGGTACGCTTAAAAATCGCGGTCTGTGGAACGTAACCCTTTTCGGTTGTGCCGACATTCATGCTATATTATTGTATAATTTTTTTACTTACAGTATGATGATGATACGCATTCTTCTTCTCGTTTACTCGTTGCTTCTGCACGGTCAGCGGTTGTGGTTGGATCGCTCGGCGGTGCACGTTGCTGTAGGTCAGCATCGGTGAGTTTTCCGTTGCACGGGTGGCGTCCTCGGTTTGCTACGATCGGGTAGCTGCTGGGCATTGCGTTGGATTGCTCCTTTCTTCGCGCTTCAGCTTCTTGTCACGGTTCTTCTTCCGGGTCTCCCAGGCACTGACGAATTTCGGCTCGCACTTGGTGCTGATTTGCTCAATTTGTTAATCGGTTCTTGTTACCGATTGTGTCTCGAAATAGTTTGGCGTATCCCACTATATATTTATTTATTGTTTTAGCTAAACTAATCTCATCGCTGCCACCAATTTTGTTGTGTCTCTCTGGATACAACAGGAATTTGGGGATAGTCCAAGGGTTCGGCTCGTTTTAGGAGTTGGGACTCCGAGTGTTGAGAAACACGAGACAAAGATTCCGTGCAATAATAGTTTATTCGTACAGCTTACATGTCTTTACAGTTCGGCTTGGTGATGCTTTGGTGACGTATAGTATCGGCGCTGGCGGAATCTCATAGTTTCGTCGTGTACGCGTCGTCACTTAGATTCGGAATACGGCACCTCTATTAAGCTAGCAGGACCAAATCAGCAGAATCAAACTGGACCTATCAGATTATTTAGTACCCATTTTGTACTAATTTGTACCATTAATAATAATTTTGTACCTCGTGCCATTTCCAAAAAAACCGTGGCGCTGCTACCATCAAATTAAGCTAGCAGGACCAAACTAAAACAAAACAAAAAGATAAAAATAAGACCAGAAATCGAAAGGGCTGAATTTGTACTAATTTGTATCACCCAAATAAACTCAATATATTTAGCCCTTATGCTTAAAACAACGCCCAATTGAATTTAGCCCTATTAAGCTCAAGAGTAAAGTACTCTTTTCAATCAGCAGAATCAATCGCTACTTATACACTTGTACAGATGGTACAAAACAGTGGTACAAATTAGTACAAAATGGGTACTAAATAATCTGATAGGTCCAGTTTGATTCTGCTGATTTGGTCCTGCTAGCTTAATAGAGGTGAATTCGGCCCCGTTACTTCCTCTTTTATGGTCCGAAAGTAAGTGAATTTTCGGTAATAGGTCGCGATGTCTTAATTGAATATTGCAACAAATTGCATATCTTGCATTTAATCGCAATTTTGGGAGCGCACGCAATAGCTTACAAAATGCTGAATTTACGCTGTGCTCCTTTTGACTTTTTTAGATCGTAATTACGTTATTAAATTTCGAGTTACGACATTAGGGACGATAATCAACTCTGATAATAATATCAGTCTGGAGATAAAATGATTTATGAGAAAAAATAATTATGCTAACCAATAAAGTACATTTGGCGTTTGGCAAAATATTTAGTTTCAAGATAACGACTAGAAGAACCAAAATGGTACTCTATAAAACGCTCATTATCCCGTTAATACTATATAGGTGTGAGTGCTAGACATTGGACAGCAAAAGCTCAGCAACCCTGGGAGCCTTTAAAAGAAAGATTCTTCAAAATGGATATATGGATCCGTATGCGTAGGGGACCAGGATGGAGAACAAGATACAATCATGAAGTATATGAACTTTATAAGGACGTTAACATAGTGCAAAAAATCAAACTTCAAAGGCTGCACTGGGGACATGTCAGTCAGATGGAAAACAATAACCCCACGAAGAAGTTTTTCAAAAATAACCTACCATACGCTGTGAGGGGTAGGCCGAGTCTGAAATGGAGAGATGGAGTGAAGGCAGACTTGAGGAGGCTAGGCATTAGAGATTGGAGGGAGAGAGCATGCGATAGAGAGGAATGGAGAAGAATCCCGAGCCCAAGTCCACCAGGAGCTATAGTGCTAGATACATACATACATAATAATGTATATATTTACTGCGCTTAGCTCTTATTAGCCCTATTCCTTTCTAACTTACATGCTAATAGTATTTTTGTTAAAAGTTAACAATTGAATGATTTCTTATTGTTAGGAATCTACCACGCGCAATATATATATCACTGCCATTAGTGACCTTGATATATGTTATGGCGAATGTTGCTTATTTAACGGTTGTAACACCAACTGCTATGATTGCTTCTAATGCCATCGCAGTGGTAAGCAATATTTTTATACATATGTATGACAATGTATCAGTTAGAACTGCATTATCAAATATATTCTACAGAATTCAGTATTTATACATTAGACTTTCGGCAATCAACTTCTTGGATACATGGCATGGACGATACCTGTAATGGTGGCTGTATCCGCCTTCGGAGGATTGAGCGTTCATATTATGACATCGTCTAGGATGTGTTTTGTCGGCGCCAGAAATGGTCACTTTCCTTCAATGCTGAGCCATATTAACATGTCCAGACTCACACCCACACCTGCCTTAATATTTCTGGTGTGTATGACGCTAATTACATTTTCTAATTAAATCTGTTAAAATTTTAAAATTCTTGCTTTATAGCTATGACTTAAAGCATTTATTTCTGACTACGGCGGTAAAAGCAAAAAATGAAATATTTTTTTATATTAAATAATTAGCTAAATTAAGTTTTTTCATATTATGACTTAATCCTTTTTGTATTTGCAGTGTATTTTATCCCTTCTAATGTTATGTACGAGTGATATATTTGTACTGATTCCGTATTGCAGCATAGTAGAATCATTTTTCATTATGATCTCTGTGGCTGGAATTTTGTGGCTGCGTTATAAAAGACCTAATATGGAACGACCAATCAAAGTAATTAGTTCACATGTATTACTTCACAGATATGATATACGAGTTTGTATATCTATATGTTTAATAAAAATCTTTTTAGGTACCGTTATGGATACCTATAGTATTCGTAGCATTATGCGCTTTTCTGGTTATCGTACCATGTTACGAAAGGCCATATGAACTCGGCATGGGTATTTTGATCACCACATCTGGTATACCGGCGTATTTCTTCGGTGTCGCTTGGAAAAATAAACCGATATGGTTTCAGAAAATTAACAGTACGTATGTTCCATAAATATGACTAAAAGTTTATTTAATATTTAAACTTTAATATTACATTTTTCTTTTCTCTCTTCCTTTCCCTTTTTCTCGTTTCTTCCTCCCTTCTTCACCTGCTCTCTTTTCCTCTCTCTTTCTTCCTCTCTTCCTCTTTTCTTTTCTCTTCTTTCTTCCTCACATTTTTCTTCCCTTTTCATTCTTCTCAACCCTCTTCTTCTTCTATTTTTCTCTTCTCTCTCTCTCTCTCTCTCTCTCTCTTATTTATCCGATGAAAAGCTGTTATTTTAAGCTCTTTGTTCAATCTCCATTCTCATTCTAATTATATGCATGGTATAAAAATATGTTGTAATGTATGGCATTCAAAAGCACACATTAAGAATTAATTAGATTAATACAGATTTTCTGATTAATTGTATCAATGAAAAAAATTCCAAGTATTGAATGCTGTGAGTGGTGTTGTGATCAATCACAACGTGATCAAACGAAACGCTTCTGTTTTAAAATAATAAAAGTTAATATAAACAAGATTCGAATGATACAAATCAAATAATAAAAAAAGGTCGATTAGAGCTTAGACGCAATAAATAGTGCGTATAAAAACAGCATTTTTATTTTAAATAAATGTAATTTGCCAAACGTTTCGATCCCCTTCGAATCCTTCTCAATGACAAAAAATAAAGTTAAACAAAAAAAGAAAAATTGTACTCGCATGAGGGATATTTTTCTTGTACTACATGTTGGGCTTATAGCATACACTAACGGATAATTTGAACGACATTATGTTTTCAAGTTTGCTTCATCTTTCGTTTTGTAAGAACACATCAGATCGTTATGAGGGTGATACAGGTATGCGATGAGTTTGATATTTTAAAGACTCTAATGAAGATGATTTCTGCAGCTGTCTGTCTTTATTTAATTTATTTGTTTTGCATCATTGATTTCATTATGTGAACGGATTCATGTGCGCGACATCATCTGCTTTGCGATACGTTCCATCACTAATATAATAACTTAGATACTACCGATAACTATTGTTATGATTTTTTTTTGTTTAACTTTATTATTTGTCATCATTGAGAAAGATCCGGAGAAGATCAAAACGTTTGGCAAATGACATTTATTTGAAATAAAAATGTTATTTTATTACGCCACTTATTACGTCTAGGCTCTAATTGGCTCTCGTTTTAATCATGTGAACATTTTTATTCTATGCATACGTAATAAGCATTTTTATTTTGTGCTTGTATTTTATGTGCAAGTAACAAATATGAAATAGTGAGAGTGGAAGAAACACAGAAAGATCTTAGTGTTACTTTGATTAAACTCGGATTAACTTAATTGTTGATAAACTTGCAAAATGGTTAATGTCAAAATTTCTAACAATATAATTATCGTATGCATAATAGAAACATAATAATAACAGCAATAGGCTCAGAGTATTAACGATACCAAGTGAGAAAACTGGCAAATAAGAATTTAAGCACAGTTATTAATATGCAAACTTTTCGTTGCTCAATTTCATTAACAAGTATGCATTAAATATGTACGTTTCGGACCGTTTTTTTATCTATCTTCAGCATAGATAACAATATGTAAACATAAAATTCGTATTCAAATCTTGATATGCGCAATATTAGTTGTTATAATCGAAAATCAAAATTTAAATCCATAAGTGATAAGTGACATGAACAACTCACCAAAACCTAAATAGAGTTTATGCAAGTTAATCGATAATATCGTCATATGTATATCCGTCAGTGGTCCAAACCATACTAACGTGATGTTGTAATGATGTAATGATATAATTCCAAAACCAGCCAACTATAGTCATTCCATTCTTTAGAGTTAGAGAAATAGCTGCGATTGGCCAGCTCCATGGATGCAATAGATAGTTTTTTTTTTAATTTTTGGTTTTTCCCCACTATTATCGCAAATACGTGGTGTAAGTCTTCCGTATTATTTTGCAGGTTTAGGCCATTCTTTTACCGCTAAATGAACAACATTTTGAAGACGAGCCTTTTACCGAGCGAAGTTTTATTGTCTAAATTCTAAAATTTCGACTCTGTCCCAATCAAATTCATGATTGGCCTCGGGTCTGTGATTTGTTATAACCGAGAGGTGTGATGTATTATATACTAAGTTGCTAAGGAGCGAGCAGTAAGAGAGGGAACCGTAGGCGTGAGTCAAGAAATCCGGCCGAAAGTTGCATCTAAATCCCAGCACTGTACTAAGTTGTTGCGTGAATCCTTAGGGATTGAATCTTTTTGTACGTTGACAAAACTATGAAGTTAATCAAGGTCGGTATATGATAATCTCGTGTCAAGATCACGAAGGACTTATTTAAATCGTTCGGAAAAGGTTGGAGTATAAGATATCGTAAAGAATGAATGCGGTTTCTCTGGTTTCTCCGGTTGATCATTTTCCCTGATCACAGCTCTCGTTTGATTTTTTGTAAATAAGAATTTTAAACGTTCACGGATCACATTGGAAATAGTCAGAGGATAACTGTTGTCTTGGAGGATGTCGATTGTTTATCAATACCAGATTTTTCTGATGGAATTTCGGGTGTGACTATGAAATTGAATATTGAACAAACATTAGAATACTTCCGGCCAATAAACAAATCGCCATCGGAAACCATTCTACCCCAATAATTAATAAGTTGATAAATCATTCTTTTACATTTTACGAGATCAGTGACGGATAAACAACTTATTCACGCAGCAAACCTTACCCCAAGAGATTCAGACGTGAGACTCCAAATGTCATTTTCACAAGAGCAAATAAAGGCAACGTCACGATTACTTTTGATAAAGTTATTTATTTAAATAAAATGACAGATATGTTAAGTGACAAAAGTACCAATACAGTTTTGAATAAAAATCCGACTAGAAAAATGATCAATGGTCTGCATGAATTGCTAGTGAGATGGAAAAATCACAATTATATTTTGGACACTATGTATAAGCGTTCGAACTGCACAGATGGCGTTTTACCGAGAACTTACGGATTACCGAAAATTTATGAACCGAACTGCCCGCTCAGGATCATCGTTTCCTCGATCAGCACTCCTTTAAATCTCTTAGCCACATTTCTACATAATATCATTTATAATGCTATCCCTAGAGTATATAACTATATATCTCTAATAGCTTTGAATTAGTTCAAAAACTATCAGACACATACGTAGATGACCAATTTAAATTGCTATCATTGGATGTCATCTCTTTTTTTCTCCATTAGATTTAGCTTTGGATAGTATTTTGGAGAGGTGGTCTCATCGAAAAAAAATGTAATATCTTTTGAGATGAGTTCCTGACGGCGCACAGTGGTCAAAGCAGTCGAAAACGTAGCCAAATTTTGTACATACTCACATCATTCTAAATCATGGTATATAACCTCAATTTAGTGGTTTTGGTTTTTCCATGATCCTGATGAAATTTAATTGTATGGTATTAATTCTGGATGTATATTAAAAGTTAATTAAAAGTTGTTACTGCCAACATTAACGTTATGCGATGTACACCACGGGGAGATTGTACGATCGGATTTTGCACATCTTTTTGCGCTTTGAGCGCGTTTTTGGGTATAGAGGAGATAAACACCGAGTTCGTCACTTCGCAGATATTTTATGACTCCAAATCTTTCCCTCTTTATACGCGCTTATACTTACGTATATAGATATTGTAGAAATTATTCTATATTGCTTCATTTGAGTATTTTTCTCATGTATAATAAATAAAATTATTTTTATTTATCATTAGTGTCATCACTATTAGATATGAATAAATTTCAGAATCAAAATTATTTGGTTTCATATGTTGCGTTTCGAATGTTACCATTAGTTTCATTGCTTCTGGAGACAATTCTTTCGAATTTTTTGGGGGTAATGATATGTGTGAAGCTATTACAGGATTTGACAATACGAACAAGATTTTCAATAAATTTTTATTTGAAATCTTGTTTTTCCTCATATGGTGCTCTTTGAAATAACACGATAATCTTTGTTGCGGGCTTCCTGAGCCTGTTCTCAAAACAGCCTTACTGAAAGTTTATTGTTTCTAATTATTTGCCCCCGTGAATTAACACCTTATATACGATTACAGGCATTTGAAATCATCAATAGTTCTCTACAAAGAGTTTTGTGGTTTCCATACAGTATTGGTGAAATCAGTCGCCTACGATTGCGCGATTACTCGTGATTACTTCAAGTATTACTTCAAATCTATAGATAATTTCCTCCTTTATTTCTGTAATAAACGCGATTTATTGAAAAGGATATAATCGCAAAAACCAGACAGATAAAAATCTCGCGACACGAAGAAACGATGTTCTCTAGGCCGCAGAGAATATTCTTGACCACACTAGAAACAAATTATTCAATGTTTAATAAATGTTTCATAAATCATTATCGAATAAGTAATTTAGAAGATTATCGTAGAAATAATATTCAGATGAACTTTGACTGAGAACGAAAAATATTGAAGGTAAAAAAGGATTACATCCAGAGTATTGGCTCTCAGTTTCGGCAAACTGTCAATTTCATGTAGTAATTAAAATAGTCTGATGCAGTTTGGCGCAGATAAACTTTTTTTTACTTTTTTGATATATAATTAGGTTTTAAATTCTATTTGATTCATCGCGCTGACTCACGACGAGGACTTTGAATCGCAATACTTTATTAGTGTTACATCTTATATAACTTATTTTGTTTAGGAAATGTTTATTTCTATTAGTTGTAATGACAATTGAATAAATAATGGCGTTATTAGAAGCAGAAATGATACAACTAAATATCTATGAAAGATTTAATAATCTAGTACGGTGACAATCCTATGAATAGAATCACAATTGTGACACTGATTTATAACTCCCAAAATCATATAAAGACTTGATATTCATGAACTTTACATTTATAACTCATTCATTACTCGCGTAAATGGGATTCTTTTGGACTAAAAGGTTAGAGAAATCTAGTATGGATTTAAAAAAATAATTAAAAAAATGGATTTTGGCTACGTTTTCGGCCGTTTTGACCATTGTGCGGCAGTTCATTTTGTGCTTAATTCAACATATTTTACTTTTAACGTAAGAATATACCAATAAACGTTTGACACTTAAATTGGGCTCTCCCTTATCTCCCGTTGTTGCGGATATCATTTTGCAGGACTTAAAAAACAGAACCATATTAGATACATTTGTTTCCATTTGCCTTTTTATTATAATTATGTGGATGACATAGCTTTGGCAATCTCTTCCTCCATGTTAACGTAGATTTTAACTATCTTCAACTCGTTTCATCCAAGATTTTAATTTACTATGGAAGATAGAATGAATAACAAATTCAATTTTCTGGACGTCACGATAATTATGTATAGTAATTTAAGAGAAATCGACTAGTATTATAAACCCATTTTTTCTGGGAATATCTAAATTTTAAATTTAATCATCCACTATGCCATAAGAGAGGAACAATTATTAGCTTGGTAAACTGAACTTTTTCATTGTCATACCACAGATTCTATTAGAAAAATCTGGAATTGATAATCGACATCCTCTTAGACAACGATTATCCCCTAATTTACATTTTTAGTGTCATTCGTGAACGTTTAAAATTCTTATTTACAAAAAATCAAACGAGAGCTATGACCAGAGAAAATGATCCACCGCGTTAATTCTTTACGGTACCTTACACTCCAACCTTTTCCGAACGACTTAAACAAGTCCTTCGTAACCTTGACACGAGATTATTATATGCCGGTCTTAATTAACTTCGTGGTTTTGTCAACGTACAAAAAGATTCAATCCCTAAGGATTCACGCAACAACTTGTGTTTAAAACTTATTCATGCAAGGATTGCGATGCAATCTCTTATGTCGGACAAACTTGTAGACAGCAAAAGGAATTTCCGAACTCCAAAACTATGTAAAAATACATCACAACTCTCGATCATAACAGATCCCATATTTGAAGCCAATTATGAATTTGACTGGAATGCAGTCGAAATTTTAGACAATGAAATTTCGCTCAGTAAAAAGGTCGTCTTTGAAATGTTCATTAAGCGACAAAAAATGATTTGAACCTCCAGAATGGTACTAAAGATTTACATTACGCATTTGCCCTAATAGTGGAAAACTTGTCAAAAATTTAAAAAAAACTATCTATCGCATTCATAGTTTTGAAGCTGGCCAATCACAGTTATTCCTCTAAAGAATTGAATGACTACGATTGGCTGGTTTTGGAATTATATCATTACATCATTACGTCATCACGTCAGTGTGGATTGGACCACCGACAAATATACATGCGACGATGATGTTATCGACTGGCTTGTATGGACGTTCGGTTTTGATGAGTCTTTCCTTAGTATTACTTGTCATTTACTGATTTTAATTTGGAATATAGATTGTAGCAACCAGTGTTGTGCAGGTTAAAGTATTTAATATGAAATTGATTTATATAATTTGTTACCAATGCTGAAGATAGACTAAAAAACAATAAAAAATGTACATTTTTAATGCATACTTGTCAATGAAATTAAACAACAAAAAGTTTGCGCACTAATAACCGCGCCTCGGCTCTTATTTGACAGTTTCTTCATCTAGAATCATTAAAAATATAATAGAAATTCCGAAGTTTTATTGTTGGTCTTTTAGCAAATTAATCAAGAATTAAGTTCATCGCAATTTAATCAAAGTAGCATTTAGAAATTTGCAAAAATGTTAAAATGATTAAGAATAGGACTAAAACCAGACCACTAATTAGGACTATTTAGAGAAGCGAATTTTTATTGTATGATTATAAATTTTATTTATATATACATATATATATATATTTTACGTTTTAGTTAAAGCTACGCATACTATACAAAAGCTATTCTTATCCGCGAGGGAAGAGTGCGAAATCGATTAAATAAACAGCAAGATTCCAGAACCAAATTCGGTGGAATAAATGAAACTAAGAATCTGTGAAATGCTCTTTCCGAGATAATCTGAAGATCGTAGAATTCCACGTGAATTCTAATATCGTAAAAAAAAAAAAATAATAATTTAAAAGAAGGCGAAAATACACACATTTTTAAAAGTTATAAGATACGAGCCATCAGAAAATCTTGAGTTTATATTTAAGATTTAATAACAATACTGAGCGTAAGAGTGTAAAATGAAGTAATTAATTATGATGAAGAGTATAAAAAGAGTTATAACTAATTATGATTTGTATTATGAATAAGTGATCTCCTGAGAATTGTATTTTATTGTTCTTAATATTGCTAAAGGATTGTCTTTCACGTACGCTGTATTATTGATATTATTATATTCTCTATATTATATCGATTAATTATATAGTTCAATAAATAATAAATTTTTTTGAACAAAAAAAAGAGCAACTATTTTCTTTTTTTTGAAAGTTAAAAATTGTTTGATGTTGAATATGATTCTAACTTCTAAATTGTTCCATCACATCACAATCTTGAGAAAACGCGATTAAAATTGCAGAAGTGCGCTATTTTAATATACAGAGTATATCATAAGTCACGCCCCATCTCTGGAGAATGAATTGACGAAGTCAAAATTAGTCAAAAATAAAGAATGACGAAATTACGTTTGAACCTCCTTTAAAGAGGTACAATCAAAATAATGCACTTGACTTAACACTATTCGATTTTTTTTTTGAGGTTTCATTAAGGAACATGTGTATCAAGTACTAATTGAAAATCAGGCGGAGGTACTTCCCCGGATTCAAGAAGTAATTGCTTTAATATACAGGCTACAATGCTACAGCGAGTGAGAAACTCTCTTTTAAATTGTGCTTATTTGTGTATTCAAGTTGATGGCGGATTATTTGAACATCTGTAATTCTAATCTTATTATCTATTTGTTAGTTATGTTACGTCCAGACTCAATGAAAGGAAGAGTCAGCGGGAGGGCGTGACCTAACTTATCTCTAGACAAACGCTAGACGATGCGTGTCCTAGAGTCGAACGAACAGACCAGGGCCCCAGATAGGTCAACGACCGGAAGGGTCGCTCTTACTCTATCGAAAGGCCATTTGCTCGGCGGGCCCCTTTCTGGTAAAGGAACTGAATCCTTATTACCCGGGACGGGACCTTGTGCGATTTCGGATAACAGGAAGGAGGTCGAGTTAATGAATTACTCGAATTTTAAATTTAACGTTACATTTATTCAAGAAAATAAAAATAAATGATAAAAAAAAAGATAAAATTTAATAAAGGAACATTGAATTCGATTTACGAAATCTTATTTATAAAATACATTTTCTTAAATTCTATTGTGTAATTGTGTTCGTGTGCGTGAGTGTAGGTAAAGGAAAATTATGTTCTCGCGGGTGTTACAATAAATACGGAGGACGTCAACCGGAATTAAACGGGGAAACTAAAATTTAAATTCCGGTTGGAAATTTACAATAAATAGTTTTAGAAAAAATATTTGAAATAAATTATTAGAGAAATGAAAATTGGACGGTAGGAAGAAAAGGGGAGGAGGACTATTAAAGGTCTTGGAGTTGCACCGTGGAGGAAGAAGGGAACTTCATCCAGAAGACCTCGATAGGGACGTTTCCTCTTTGAGATCGGGACACTCTTCTACGAAGTCCTGGAGGGCTTCTCCGAAATTGTGCGACGCTCCTGGGAGATTGGACGATTCGAGGCGTGAGGAGGAGGGAGGAGTGGGAATTCTCGATGGTTGAGGTTGTTCGGAAAGAATAGGTAGACAGTCAGAAGGGGGAGAGGGAGTGGGAATTCTCGAGGGTTGAGGTTGTTCGGAAAGGATAGGTGGATAGTCAGAAGGGGGAGGGGGAGTGGGAATTCTCGAGGGTTGAGGTTGTTCGGAAAGGATAGGTGGACAGTCAGAAGGGGCAAGGGGAGTGGGAATTCTCGAGGGTTGAGGTTCGAGAGAAGGTGAGTGAAAACGCTCGGGCGAAGAGACGGGGGAATAAGAAGGAGGTGAATAATCAAAAGAAGAACTAGGGGGACAAGGGTGTGTATCGCGTGTTGGTGTGTTGATTAATCGCTGGACTCTTAATTTAAAAGAATGTTCATCTAGATTTAATTTATTGTAATCGATAGTAAAAGTAGGATCCGCGGACGTCCGAGCCAATAGTTTCCGGATCTTTTTATTTTCCCGGTTGCGGATGTGTTTCGCATTTAGAGCGCTTTGCCGGGGTTGTTTCCACTAGGAAACACACGCAAGTGTTAACTGAGATATTGACATTTAGTTAAAAGAAACAGTTTGATAATGATAAAATAATAAAGAAAAATGGAGAAAGCTCTTAAGGATCTCAATTACATTTATTTTTAATATGTATATATTGTAACGATACGTTACCAGCCTCGCGGGCCGACCAGCCGCCCGCAATTCTGAGGCTCGGCGCCTATGGCGCCCCTAAACTTCCACACCCGTGTCTCGGCCCCACCGTGGGACCGCCCCACCACGCGCCGACTCGCGTGAGTGGGAGGCCGGCCGCCGGTATATAAGGTGGTCCGGCGAGCGTAGCGTTACCAGTTCCCGATCCTGAGTCCTACCTTGTACAACTCCTGATCCGAAACCTACACCGCGTTACACCAGGCTACGGGCTACCCGTAGTTACGCCGGGCTAACCGGTTGCTGGGACGGCGCACCCTAATACCTAGCGTTACACCAGGTCACGGGCTACCCGTGGTTATGCCGGGCTTCCCGGTTGCTGGGACGGCGCATCCTG